GAGGGGAAGAGGAGGAGGAGGAGGAGGTGGAGGAGGAGTGCTTGCTGCGCGCTTCAGGGGGGCGCCAGGGGGCTCGCGGCCCAGCATGGTGGGCTGGCACAGAGGGAGGGGGGGAGGGCAGGCAGGAAGGCGTGCGGAGCACAGAGGACGAGGAAGAAGCCGCCGACTCCTGCTCCTCCTCCCTCCTCCGTCCTCCGTCCTCCTCCTCCTCCTCCTCCTCCTCCTCCCCGACGGCCGCAACACGGCGGCGGCCTGGAGATGCACCGCGGCGAGCTGGGGACAGCGGGAACCGGGAGGGCAAGAAGCCGCGAGGCCTCGGCGGACCGACCAGGGGCGACAAGCGGGCGCTGGGGTCGCCGCAGACCAGTGCAAGGGCGACAGAAATTTGTGTCCGTAGCCATTTTGGCTCACGGGTTCAAGGTCTCCTCCCTGTGGGCAAAGCGACGGCGGCAGGATGTCGGTCCAATTCCAGTCGCAGAATTTCCAGCACATCCTGCGCATGTGCAACACGAACGTGGACGGGCGGCAGAAGGTGATGTATGCGCTGACCGCCATTCGTGGCCTTGGCCGGCGCTTCTCCAACATCATCTGCAAGAAGTGCGACATCGACCTCAACAAGCGTGCGGGCGAGCTCACCACAGATGAGGTGAACAAGATCGTGGCTGTGGCGAGCAGCCCGCTGCAGTTCAAGATCCCGGCCTGGATGCTCAACAGGCAGAAGGACGTGAAGGACGGCAAGACCTCGCAGAAGTACGCCAACTTTCTGGACCAGGCTCTGCGCGAGGACCTCGAGCGCATGAAGCGCGTGCGCCTCCACCGAGGCATTCGCCACTACTGGGGCATCCGCGTGCGAGGCCAGCACACCAAGACCACCGGCCGCCACAGGGCCATGGGCGACGGCGGCAAGAAGTAGAGTTCTGTCGGGCCTGTACCCCTACTGGGGGATTTTCGACGAAACATACAAAATACCCCACAAATAATCAAACAAAAGTCCAAACATAGTGTGGGGACTATTTTCGAGTCTTTTTTTACCTTTTATCGTCGAAGATCCCCCTGTAGGGGGACACGCCCGACTTAGAAGTAGAGCGCGGGCGCGCGGCCGCGCCAAAAGGGGGAGGTCGGCACGTGGCCGACGGCAGCCAGGCGCTTCGCACCGGCCATGGAGAAAAGCACGGCAGGCGATGGAGCATGCCCGCGGTGGGACAGGTCAAGCAGTGGCGAAGCGTCCTGGCTCGCCTGTAGGCCTACGAGAGGATGTTCCAGGAACCTCTTGTGGTTTCAACGAAATGTTCTTAGAACATTTCTGGCTGGGACTGTCTTGTATTAGCACATCGGGCTTGTGTTCTGAGAGCATTGTTTTGATCATTCCCCACATGCTTCGTGGGGTTATGGTTTTCTTCCCTTCCGCGTCTCACCCGCGTCTCCTCCTTCTCCTTCTCCTTCTCCTTCTCCTCCCTCTCCTTCTCTTCCCTGCCGCGCCGCACCCGCCACATGGGGGTGCGCAGGGGTGCGCAGAGGGTGGTCCCCCAGCGCGGCCTCTATCCGTGACACGCTCGCAGATCGTGGCAGGAGTGGCACTTTCTCGACACCCAGAGTGGGTGCGCAGGGGGTGGTCCCTCAGCGCGGCCTCTATCCGTGACGCGCTCGCAGATCGTTGCAGGAGTGGCTTTCTCGACACCACAGGGGGTGCGCAGAGGGTGGCCCCTCAGCGCGGGCTCTATCCGTGACACGCTCGCAGATCGTGGCAGGAGTGGCACTTTCTCGACACCAGAGAGGGTGCGCAGGGGGTGGTTCCTCAGCGCGGCCTCTATCCGTGACACGCTCGCAGATCGTGGCAGGAGTGGCACTTGCTCGACACCACAGGGGGTGCGCAGAGGGTGGTCCCTCAGCGCGGCCTCTATCCGTGACACGCTCGCAGATCTTGGCAGGAGTGGCACTTTCTCGACACCACAGGGGGTGCGCAGAGGGTGGTCCCTCAGCGCGGCCTCTATCCGTGACACGCTCGCAGATCGTGGCAGGAGTGGCACTTTCTCGACACCACCGGGGGTGCGCAGAGGGTGGTCCCTCTAGCCGCGCCGGTCGCGTGACAACGCCGCAGATCGTGGCAGGAGTGGAACTTCTCGACACCACAGGGGTGCGCAGAGGGTGGCCCCCAGCGCGGGCCCGACGCCGTGACACGCTCCGCAGAAACGTGGCAGGGTTGCACTTTCTCGACACCAGAGAATGTGCGCAGGGTGGTCCCTCCGCGCGGCCTCTACCCGTGACCACGCCGCAGATCGTGGCAGAGTTGGCCTTTCCTCGACAACCTGGTGCGCAGAGGGAGGTCCCTCAACGCGGCCGCTATCCGTGACACGCTCGCAGATCGTGGTAGGAGTGGCACTTTCTCGACACCACAGGGGGTGCGCAGAGGGTGGTCCCTCAGCGCGGCCTCTATCCGTGACGCGCTCGCAGATCGTGGCAGGAGTGGCACATTCTCGACGCCACAGGGGGTGCGCAGAGG